ATATATATATATACATATATACATATACATATACATACACACATACATATACACACATATACATACATATACACACACACACAGACACAATATCTGTACTGTATTCAGAATTCTAAAACAATGGCTTCACTGCAAGAAAATCAATCTTCATTGGCCAAACCCCCAAAAAATGCATGTTGCATAACGCATCTAAACACGCAACAAAGCAAGCTATAAAAAAAAAAACACTAAAAAAAAGACAAGCGGACACTGATAAACCTGCCCGTAATCTTTATCTGGATCAAAGATAAATGTTCACGTATTATTCTATTAAAACTGACATACGGATGAACCACATTACACTTGCTACAGTGCGGTGATTAAGCCGTTACAAGCAGTTGTAGTCCCTGATCACATCAAATATCTAAGAACTAATCATATCAGTTCCCAGCTACTCAACATTGGAATAATATATTTCAAAGTAGAAAACTAAACCACGTGGATCACACATTAGGACTTCTTTCTTGATACACCATTGGTTGACACCCAGTCAGCTGAAGATAGGATCCTACTGAAGTGTGTTGTGCACCCATAAAGGGCCCATTCACAATGCATGTTACCACAACACATGGCAAGACACCCGTTCTATGTGATATGCTTTGTGGTGCCATTTATTGTGAATGGCTTCCCAATGCATTGTTCAGTAGAGCCCAATGCACCGCAGAGCACAACAACAAACTGTATACCATGCATTGTGGTGTGTTGGCAGGCAGTCCATTTAATGGGATGCCCAATGCAAAGCGCATTAGCATATTATTATACATTATACAGGATTTATATAGGATTTATATAGTGCCAACAGTTTCCGCAGTGCTTTACAATATAAGGAAGACATTACAATTCAAGACAAGATGGTAAGGAGGGTCCTGCCTTTGAGGGCTTACAATCTAAAAGGGAGGGGTAAGGGATGAGGTAGCTGTATTGGGATGAATTGTCTGAGAATGTGATGGTTCAATGGTTGGGTTGAGGTGGGATAGGCTTCCCCGAAGAGATGAGTCTTGCAGTCAGGGTGGGAGATATACAAACAGGTTGGGGTAAAGAGTTCAAGAGGATGGGAGAGACTCTAGTGAAGTCCTGGAGGCGAACATGGGAGGAGTTGACGAGGGAGCTGGAAAGCAGGAAGTCTTGGGAGGAGCGGAGGGGACGGTTAGGGTGATATTTTGAGACAAGGTTTGAGATATATCATGGGGCAGAGTTGTGGATGGCTTTGTAAGTGATTCTGTAAGCATATGTGCTTAACTGCACTGCAAAGGAATGTCTAAGTGTGAACGACTAGACCCAAGCTAAATCAGTTGCTGGAAACTGATCAGTGTCAATAATCAGTGATAACCTGGCAATGAACTGTAGTTTAAATACGGATTCAACATAACACCCCTTTTCCCCTTTATTGTCAAGTAGCACAGAATGCCTGTTACACAGTGCCTCAGCACTTTTTAGCAATATATTAATATACAGTATATAGTGCAACTGTTTTCTACGGCCATTTGTTGATTTCAAGAGGTAAAATACCTTAGCTGTGCATATTCCAATAAAACTTTCACTAAAAAGCTTTTGTGAATATCTTAAGGCAGGGCTGGACAAATCCCAGGAGCCAGGTTGCCAATGCTCCTTGCTCCAGCTGGAACCTAAGCTTTAGGTTTCCTCCTTCACTGCACTAGCTATAATGTCTGGCAGGGGGGCCTGTAAGACAGCACTACAGCTTAAAATTTAAAATTAGGCGAGTAAGATAATCACATGAATGTATTTAAAAGCGTCTATAACCTAGAGTTTATCTAATGGGGTAAAACACACAGTAAAATGAATCAAAATATTCTCCTTCACTTGGCATTATAGCCATTCAATTATGGTGGTGTTCATTACAATACATTTATATCCTTGAGAGTGAATGGTGGATGCCATTTATTGCCAAGTACAGAATGCATGAATGTGTTATTGTACTTACATAATGGCTGCAGTTATGCAACACGTGGCCTGTGCATACAGTAATGGTGCATGCAAAGCAAATACCTATTCCCATCATATTTTGTTCACCAATCAGTGCTGTCCAAGGTACTGACCGTGAATGCCAAACATCTACCTTATTTCAGGAAAAGATGGAGACACTAAATAGCTGCATGTTTGAGTAATGGCAAATGACCAGGCTGAGATTACAGGCAAAAAAGTGAACATTACAACTAGTAAGATTGGAGGACACTTTAGACTGTAGAGCCTGCTGCTGTTTGCTTGTGTGCCAGACAGGAAAGGCCCCCAGACCTGTTTATAGGGAAGCTTCTGCCTTCCAGGGCAGAACACAGAACACAAAAGTCATAGGAACCCCAGATCTCTGGATACAACTACATAAGCACCCCCTGACATCTCTCATACCATATACACATAGAAGAGCATTTAGAAAGCAATATGTGCCATCCCTCGTTTACGGCTTTGGTTGCATGTTGCAAAGCATGTAGTAGTATTATTGTACCAGGGACTGGTATAGGCAGTACACAGTGAGTCATCATTTACCATTCAACCTACTGGCACAAGTACACATTATTTCTTCTTTTAGGATGGCCTGCCAAGTAGCAGAATTTAGGCCTGGTTAGAGATGCTGAAAGCTAAAAAACAGGAAAGAAAAAGAGAAAAACAGCAGCAGCCCCACAGGCAACTTTACCTCTGCTCATTAGCTTCAGTAAATTGGAGAGTGGGAACGTGTTAGTACAAACAGCTTGGGTGTGAACTTCTATTTGAAATTGGCTTACCAACACGTGGCTTAGCTTTCCTACTGATCCTCTGCTGCACACAAAGAAGAGATCTCAGCAATTATACACTGAAATATCGCATGCTATTCTCAGATCTTTCACTGAACTACCAAGAAATATAACCTTCCAGCTCACTACATCAAATATCAGTCACACATCAATGGCATGCATACCATGTCCTGTATGCTTGTTGCACATCTGCAGTTCTGTATTTTTCCCTTTTTCTAGAACAAACATGACTACAGTATAGATTTCTGCACCGATGAGTGAGGTCTGTAACCCAATACACAGACAAGAGAAAACTGAGACCTGGCTGGTAAAGACGGCACAGAAGCATTCCTCATGCAACCTATTCTATCCTCCATTCCCTGGGCACCGATCACAGCACTTATAGCATGTTGCAGTTCTTACACGCTTGCTCATCACTCAGTGGGAGCATTAAACAGATATATAGTCATCGGCTGAGCACTGCTGTGGAATACATAAAAAGAGAGTTCCACCCATGTGTTACCATAACTATACTCTGTCTTATGTTATGCTGGAGAGCCACACCCATGTGTGGTGATAGAATCATTTCACCAAAATTGGTGTGTGTGTGTTTGTGTGTAATAATAAATATATCTATCTATACACACACACGTGTGTAATATTTATATATAAAAAAAAAGGGGGGGGGAATAATGCAAGGTTGTAGGACCCAATGCATTTTGATGCACTTTTAAAAACACGCATATGCACACATAAAAATAAAAAAAAAATAATGATTTTCAATGGTGTAGTTCACAATAATGTGTTGCACTGCATGCTGCATTTTGTTTTGCACTGGAACACATGCAAATGCATGAAAATGTACCTCTTAATAGTAGGAGTGATGTTAGCACCTAAAAAACAAACACGTGCATTTTACATGCTTTATGTGGTTTTGGTGGGAGTGGGCCCTTAAAGCAAACCTGTGCTTTGTGAGAATGTAGACTGCCAATGCTGACATTGCCCCACAATGCTAGTCGTCATGCTGATCCTCATGTTCCACTACTTTCTAAATATTATGAAACCGATACTGTACACAGATTAGAGGATCTGACTTCACTGGCTGCATGTTTGCTTTAGCCCAGAAACTACCAAAGAGACAACTAGACCAGCAACATTGTCACAAGGAGGAAGATGATAATGGACAGGTATACTATATATCTCAGTACAGGTTTCTATGAAACAGAATCTGTAGTCATTTTATTTTTGTAAAACAATCCTAATCAAGGCATGCTAATAAATTTAAGAAGTTAGTTTCTACATATACAGATTATAAAAACAGATGGGGCAGTCGCATTCGACATACAAATTCAAGCTTTGTAATGTTGCACAATGGTTGTGCCCTGCTGCAAGTCTTTCAAACAGTGCTGTAGACCATGTCCGATTGAAAACAATTGACTCTACACAGTCTCTAATGACATGGAACCCTCCCACTGCTCTTGTAAGTCAGAAACCATAAAATCTTTGCCTAGACTTCAGGCCACACAAAACCGTAAATCTTTGCCCAGACTTCAGGCCACATGAGGGAACTCTGCACTGTAACAAAAGAAGGATATTTTGGTACGCAATAATGCTGGCGGGTGCCCGCATGAATGTCCACAATAGATCTGCTGTATATGAAATTGAAGAATAAGTTATTTTGCATTACACTATTAAAAGAAATATTACACACATATACTACTAGTGTGTGTGTGTGTGTGTGTGTGTGTGTGTGTGTGTGTGTGTGTGTGTGTGTGTGTGTGTGTGTGTGTGTATGTATGTATGTATGTATGTATGTATATATGTATATATCTACACACTCAACCATCACGGTTTCAAACAATTCATCCCCACACAGCTCCCTCCTCATGTATCCCTTGCCCCTCCCGTGTAGATTGTAAGCCCTCAGGGGCAGGGCCCTCCTTACCATCTTGAATTGTATTGCGATTGTAATGTCTTCCTTATATTGTAAAGCGCTGCACAAACTGTTGGCGCTATATAAATCCTGTATAATAATAATATACACACACCGATTCTGCCCTGTCGCTGTGCGGCCCAGAAGGCCTATAACCCACGGTGACAGGATGGAATACAGGATATAACTACATGGCATCTTTTGTGATTAAAATGTGTGGCTGATGGTGGAGTAAGCTGTGCAAGGAAAAAAATCCCCAGGAAATCAAGAAGCAAGTAATTTTAAGCTCCAGCTTCCATTCAGACAGCATTTTATACATCTGAATTTTCCCTATGTCATTATAGGCCTTGTCGTAAAGATCTTTCACAGAAAAAATAGAAGGCAGCTGAATGATGGCGGCACTACAAAGGAATTTGCCTGGATACTATACATATAAATATAAAGGGTGTAGTCATGTGGACAGTTGCCCTTGCTTCCATCTGTTCACCACACCCTATAAAATGCCAAGACAGAAGATGATTGGACCGTGCAAAGAACCCTTGGAGGAAATAAATGATTTCCTTCCACTAGTGATGTGCAGGGCAAAGGCTAATGAAAAGGACAAATGCTGCCTTCATTATAATAATGCATCGTGTTATTAGGAGTTTAGCTGATTAACACTGGCAGACCCTTGTAAACCAATCTTTAGTAGCATACAATTAGGAGACTGCTTTTATAAGAGAGGCAATGTTAGGCATTGTAATTTGTAAACTTTATTTTTTATCTCAAGGTCAGAAGAAAAATTGTCCCATTCACGGGAGGCTTCAATGGTACACCTGCTTTTTCCCTACAAAAAGGTCAGAGCATCCTCCAAGCTCTTGTAGAGGAGCAGTCTGCTGCTCAAGCAGTACCATCCATGCCCTCATGTCTCCCTTTAACATAAAAAGGCATTCAAGCAGTGCAGACACTTACGCTATTATTAGATACACCTGGCCTAGGAAGCCCTTCCAGCAGCTTCTATACATCATTGTAGGCTATACAGGACTCAAGTGGCAGGGTAGCACAGAATCCTACTCATCCGTCATACTAACATAAGGATCTCCCTTCTACCTGCGGATCACAGATATCCATCCCCAACCTGTGATTTGTAAACTATGACTGCTTGCTGTTAACCCCTTCTGTCCTCACTCTCTATACAAAGAAGGAGACTCCACCTTTAAGTATCACACGAGTCAATGACACTGGGCGAAAATTTGCTCTTATGTAATAAATCTCAAAATAAATGCGTATTAAGATGTACTTAGAGTTGCAGCTTAATGAAAATCATTTTAATTACTACACACAAAGATTAACCCTGCAGGTTGGACCCACTCTTTGATGCCCTGACGTCGTTGGCACATAAAAGGTCATAAAATCAAAAAAGGTGTAATTCACGAAGGTGAACTGACATTTACTAAAACACTGTATATATTGTATATTCGTCATTAAAGTTTCAGGCTGAAGAGCTTGTGTGATGAATAGCTATAGCTGATCTGTTAGGCTGGGTTCACACCTAGGCGTATTGAAAATGCACGTGCGTCGCGGTAAAAAAACGCGTGACAAACGCGCGTTTCCGAGGGCTACTTGGCTGTATCCCAATGGAAACGCGAGACCAAAACGCCCCAAAGAAGTACATGTACTTCTTTGGGCGTGGGCCGTTTTGTAGCGAGTTCGGACGGGCGGAAATACGGCAAGGTGTGAACCAGACCCATTGAATACAATGGGATTTAGATGTTTGAGCGTTTTGTAGAGCGTTCGTCGAGCGTTGAACACGCTACAAAACGTTCAGGTGTGAACCAGGCCTTTAGGTTATGTTTACCTAGGATTTGGCATGTCATACATTCTCCCAGCAACTAAGCCTCCTCCCTGTACCCATCACTGCTCAGACTTGGGAACAGACAGATCAGCGGCTGGACATCCGAATCAAGCAATAAGCCCAATTCATTCCGGTATAGAACCATCAGGGATAGAAAGCCCCACGCACAAGCAGCAGAAACCAACACTAATAATTCTGTTCCAATTGCTCCATCCTCCAGGAATCCATGCAACATTTCTAGAAACAGCCTGGAGCATAGTACACAGGTTTTACCATTATGGTACCCATGAGACAGACACTACACTTGTATAGGTGAGTGGGCATCTTTTCCCTGTGTCATGTATGATTTCCTATCCAACACACATTAAGCAATGAAGTTTTCCGTGTGATCTAGGAATTATGATCAGAAGTGGATGCAGGAAGCAGCAGCAGCTCTGTGTTGCCAAGGCAATGTGAACTGCGGAGAGTGCACAGGAATGCGCTCTCTGCGCACAGTTCGCTCGCTGCACACTTCACCCATCTCTGCGCACACTTTGCTCATCCTCCGTGCACACTTACCTTCTGTTGCATAGCTGTGATCGCGCAGGAAACTATTGTTAATTTTGCGGGTATCAATGTCCTCCTCCATTGACAGCCTGTTGATGGTTCGGATTAGGTAAAGAAAAAACACAAGTATCCATGATCCGTAGAGCAAGCCTTTTAGCAGAGGTGGAGAGCGAGCTGCCCCATGGCACTGCCAATGCGAAGGACGGGGTACAGAATCGTGCGATGTATACTTGGAGGAGATCTGCAGCGCTTCTAGTACATGCCGATCCTCCCACAGGCCCAACAGGTCAGCGCCAGGTGTGTCTAGAAGAAACGATCGCTGCGATCCTGGTCCAGGCAGGGGAGAGAAGGAGGAGGAGGTGTAGACTGGTGCTGCAGATCGTATTCTGTCACTATCAGGAGAGTGTGTGCGCTGATCCCGGTGGGGGTGGTGCTGCTGACGGACTCTGCTGGAAGCTGGATTTAGTTGAGCCGCTGTGCTTGCAGTTTTTTCTTCTCCCGGGAGCTGCGATCGGATGACTTTACCAAGCCAGCAGTTGGGTTACAGGTTAGCTGATCGGCTGCTGTACCCACAAGAGGATCTCAGGTGGGGGGGAAGATGCGGGCCGATCAGTCCTGTGATGAGCACCTTGGGGAGGGATCCAGGCAGTCGGTGTTGCTGATGTGAATGCAGATCGTTCCCCTGCCGCCTCTAGCTGTTGCTGCTGGTGCCTGGATACAGCAAGATGCTGCATTTGGTGCAGGCTCCGCCCCTACAGCTTGTCTCTATGCAACTGCGTCAGCATAGCCTATCCTCTCCCCCAGTCTCCCAGGATTGCTGCAGTGTGGGGGCTGATATATCCAGCAGCAGCCTCCTCTACCCCCTCAGCCAACCTGGCACACACAACTACTCCATCCACCTTGGCCAAAGAGAATGCATCGAGAGGAGTGGCCGATGGAGATAACAGAGCATCCTCAGGCCTGCAGCAACACGGCACATATTTCACTGACATGTACTCTCCGCCCAGGGCAGGGACGATGAGTAAGAGGAGAGAGGGGAAGCAGCAGCTGCAGGAGCTCACACACTTCTACAGCTCTGCTCAGTAAGCAAGATGGTGCTGGCTCCCGGCCATGTGCTCTGTCCCTGCAGCCAGCATATCCGACTAGGGCCAATGATCACCCCGAGACTCCCCTCTACTAGAAGACAGGAGAGGGGAGGATGGGCAGACTGCTTCAGGACTCTGCAGACGCATTAACCCCTGCACTTCCGCAACTGACCAGTACCCTGGTTGTCATCACTGAAGGAGATGCTGATCCCCGTGCCACAAAAAGATATGTCCGCTATGATCACCAAGACTGATCTGTTCATATGAGACGAATGAGCACGGCTCTGAAATATCCAGGTTTAAGGGCCTGTTCTACCAGGGCTGTGTGTTATTCGCACGCTACCACGCAATGCACCTACCTTGCAGGCGGTGCGTTGCCATTTGTTTGAATTCCACCTCTCGGCTGCAATGCGATCAGCCCCGCTGCAATGCATGGTACAATACCATGTGTTGCAGTGCGATTTAAAAAAAGTAGTGCATGCACTACTTGTTTCAATCGCACAGCTTTGTACCGGGAAGTGCATGTGGGGTGCCATTCAAATAAATGGCAACGCACCTACCGGATGGTAGGTGCATTGGGCAGTACCGTGTATCAATCATAAAGTACGGTTAAGGCACGGCCATGGTGTGAAAGGGCCCTTAAAAAGGAGAACTATGAGGTGAGTGCTTTTCACTCACCTCATAGTTCTAGCTGACCTGTGACAGTCTCATTGCAGCCGAGAGGTGGAATTCCCAGCTCCGATCCGCCAGCGCTGACTGGCGGAACGGGAGGGGGCGGGTACATCTGGGCTGATCTCGACATAGATGTCGGGACCGGCTGCAGCGTCTCAAACCGCGAGCTGTAGCTCGCGGTATATTGAGCTAAGGGTAACGGGGCGCATTGAGGAACCTGGCCTTGGGGCAGCAGAGAGTAAATCTGGCCCTGCCTGCAATCACGTTGTTTCACAACATACAATCCAACAGAGTAGATCCTTACTGCCTTTCACCAAGTCACTCCCGCAACAACAAATCCTCTATAAATGGGGTTATCCTGTCAAACTACTGATTACGCGGCAGTGCAAGACGCATGTTTCCACCCTGGAAGGTCTTAAGTTGTTGAAAAATTACTGCCAGCAGAGACTCTGATTCACCAAAAATCCTCTCCAGCTAAAATCCAGTCTGACTGGGAATGAGACTAACATATCCAGTGCCGTGGTTCACCTGAATTGTGCCTTTCCAATATGGGCCCATCAAATGGTGCTGTAGCTCTCCTTTGGATAGGTCTCAGTTCCATGTAGCAATGTAGCTCTCCTTTGGATAGCTTTTATCCCCCCAAACTTCCAAAAACATCTGCTGCCCATGTTTAAATGTATGGCATCTTTTTCTGATACTCTGGGCAGATATTTAATCTTGGATTTGTGAAATCAATGGTCGATTGCTTACATTAGTGAATTTATAGGAGTGTAATGTCAGACGTTACATTTATGAAAAGAAATGTCATAAAAGGATCCCTCCTAGTTTGGGGGGAAATTTAATTAGTTGGCTGATCTAACACTAGACTACTGCCAACCGCAAATGTAAGTCTCCCTCTCTTGGGAACGAGTTTCAAGGAGTGACCTGTTTGACATGTGGTGATATCAACATAGCATAGAATGGGACTATTCCTACCATCCGGTACCTCATTTGGCCTCTCGAATTGATATAATTTTGAGTGATAAATTCTTCCATAGGAGCAATTGCATGGTTCAGACCATGTGCTCATATCAATTGACAAAATGATGGGAGGAGGACGCCCCACTCCATTATGGAGATTGAATACTTTCTTACTTCGCTCCCCTCAATATTCAGACCAGTCTTACTTTCTCTCAAGGAAGGTTTCCAGTTAAATGGACTACATTAATGCGTTTACCCTATGGCTCTTTCTTCAGGCAAACACAAGTTGTTTGCTTGAAGGGACCTATACGGTTCCGAAAACGTTGCTATACAATGCGACACATCTCTTGTCAATAAAGAACATTGACAGAAAATCTTATTGAAATGCGAGCGACTACGTTGTTCTGATCTACAGAGGCATCTGCAGTCATATCAGCAGCCACCCATTACCTTGGGTTACAGCCGGTTAGGGAGTGCAATGGACCCTACTTAAGGTTTCCTATGGATCTGTCCACACAGCACCTTTCCTTTAGTATAGGAGCGAATCAATCCATTCTGAAGTTTTTGCAGGACTCATGCTCAAAAGCAGAGGCATTTCTCTTTATTGTGCTATTTCCCTTCATCACACTGGATTTACAAAAACAAACAAACACTATGCTCAAGTGGGAAAAGGATTTGGAAAGAAACTTCTATGATGTCCAATGGACAGCAACACTTCACTATATACACATTGTAGGAAGCATTGGGAGTCTACTCAGAAACTGCACAATAGATGGTACAACATGCACTATAAACTGTGGGGGGAATTTTATCAAAACTGGAGCAAACAATCTGGAGCAGTTGCCCAGGGCATGTTGTACCATCAGCTTCTCTCTTCAGCTTGCTCAGGTAAGATTTGAAAATGAAAGACACACTGATTGGCTGCAGTGCAAATCTGCTCCAGATTTTGTCTGCTCCAGATTTTGATAAATGCCCATCTATGCGTCTTCCATCTCTGATGTGTTGGAGAGATTGTGGGGAAATAGGCTCATTAATTCATATCTTTTGGTACTGCAAACCTACACGCTCCTACTGGTCTTCTGTATTTAACCGGATATCTGAAGTATGACACAGAGTTCCTCCTAGAATAGAACTAGCATCCTTAAATATTGGTATAAAGAACTTTAACTATAGAACGGTGATCGCTCACATTCTTATAGCAGCAAAGACCAATGTCTGCAGACAGTGGGGACAACCTCCCCTCCAGAAGTGTGCCAGGTTGTGGCCAATCGTTGTATATAGATGTCATCAGCACTCCAAATATGACAGAATACGTCAAGGTTTTAGTGAATCTTCATTTTTGAAGTCACTTAAAGTGGAAACAAGCGCTTTCGGGGCCGCACAGGGTCCCTTTCATCAGGCTTAGGCCCCATTCACATTGCACGTTTGTCGCGCGATTTGCATTTTGCGCAATTTGTCGCGCGATATCGCGCAAATGCTTGCATTGAGCAAGCGAGAATCGCGGCAAAATCCGCTCCAAAAAGGGTCCTGTTGTAGCGACACATGACCCGCGACAGCAGGACCCTTTGCCCCATTGAGATGCATTGAAGAGCGATATCGCGCGGTAAATAGCCGCGATATCGCGGGAATTACCGCGCGATGAATCGCTCAATGTGAACGGGGCCTTAAAGTGAAACAAGCCCCAAAAGCACTTGTTTCCACTTTAAGTGACTTCAAAAATAAAAATGAAGATTCACTTAGGCTGGATTCACACCTAGGCGTATTTATTATGCACGTTTGTCGCGCAGTTCGCGTCGCGCGATTTGCGGTAAAAAACGTGCGTTTCCGTGGGCTACTTGGCTGTATCCCAATGGAAACGCGAGACCAAAACGCCCCAAAGAAGTACATGTACTTCTTTGGGCGTAGGCCGTTTTGTATCACGTTCGGACGGGCGGAAATACGGCAAGGTGTGAACCAGACCCATTGAATACAATGGGATTTAGATGTTTGAGCGTTTTGTAGAGCGTTCGTCGAGCGTTGAACGCGCTACAAAACGTCCAGGTGTGAACCAGGCCTAAAACCTTGACGTATTCGGTCATATTTGGAGTGCTGATGACATCTATATACACAACGATTTTACTTGATACGGCGCCATCCGTAGTCATTGCGAGCACCCATTTTTCCACATGGGAAGTCCGGTAAGGTGTGCTACAGGTCCCTGGAAGTTGTGGCCAATGTCACATGTGAAAAGGAGCATATGATAGCCCTTCAAAATATGCAATATTTGCAAGACTTGGCAAAATGAGGTTAGTCCACTCTAAATATATTGCTGGTGAAACCATTTAAATCACGTTTTAAAGTTGACCTTTTGTACTGTTGGTACACCTACACTGAGTGAGGCTTCTTTCTTTTCTCCAATAATTTTCTTTTCCTTTTTATGAATCTTCCTCTCTGCTTATACTTTAACAAATCGCCCTTTTCTTTTTCCAGCTCTTCTCTATAGCGTTTTGAGCACTTATGACTGCCGATCAACGGATAAAATGCTGTTTCAGGAAATCTGTTCTTATTCTATTTGGCTTTTTAATTGAATCTAAAAAAAAAAAGAATGTATCCTGAGCAACAAGAGAGGTAGACAGCTGAGCAGACTCTGATGGTCATCTGGTACAGAATCATTGCAGCATCCATGAACAGTCAGCACTGATCTGTACAACAAAAAGCTACTTGCCATATTTAACTTGTGCTGAGAAGTGCTGTGTCATAACCGGGAGCGTTGCAACACAAAAGGCCTGAGACACAGAGCTACATGCAGCTTATAGGCACACACACATTGTGTGTGTGTATATATATATATTTGTGTGTATATACATACATACATACATACATACATACATACATACATACATACATACACACTAGGGATGTCCCGATGCCACTTTTTCAGGCCCAAATACAAGTACATCCCCTCATGTACTTGCCGATACCAATTACCGATACTTTTTCTTAAAGGGACAGGTGAGTTTAAATGATCCATATTACAACTTCATGTTATGTACTATGGATCATGGTTTAACCTATTCATGTTAGCAGGGGAGAATTGTAACTCTATTGCTGGAGTGTAGTGGAGGTGTGTGCTGTATATATGTACTACATATACATTACACACGTCCAGTACACTATAGCAATAGATTTACAGCCAGCCCCGTCCCAGCTTCCCTTACTCACAGTTTCACTCCGATCCCCGTAGCCTCACGCGGTGCCTCTTGTAGTCGGCGCTGGGCAGGATCGCTGCATCGCATCTCGGTGCTCAGCTTGTGGGAGGCGCTCACAATTCTGCCCTGCTAACATGAATAGGTTAAATCATGATCCATAGTACATATACAGCACATACGTCCTGTACACTGCAGTAATAGAGTTACAATTATCCCCTGCTAACATACATAGGTTAAATCATGATCCATAGCACATAACATGTACTTGTACTACAGATCATTTAACCCATTCATGTTAGCAGGGGATTATTGTAAATATATTGCTGCAATGTACGGGACATTTGTGCTGTATATGTACAGTACATATAAATATACAATTCTGCACTGCTAACATGAATAGGTTAAATGATCCGTAGTACAGGGCTACATATCATGTACTACGGATCATTTAACCCATTCATATTAGCAGAGGATAATTGTAAATCTATTGTTCAGTGCATTCTATATGTAGTATAGAGTGCCTGCAACAATACATTTACAATGATCCTCTGCTAACATGAATGGGTTAAATGATCCCTAGTACAGGGCTACATACAGATCTAATCCCCCCCCAAAATCTGCCCTCACTCACTGTGTGACTGTGCCAGAGAGAGCAGGGACGAGTCAGCGGCAGCGCTGGTACAGTGGGAGGAGCTCCAGATGGGGTCCTAATTTAGCTGACTTAGAGGTGCCTGATAGCGCAAGCTTCGGCGATAGGCATCGGGGCATTTTGACAAGTACTTGTCAAAATGCCCTGTATCGGGCCCGATTCCGATGCTAGCATCGGTATCGGTGCATCTCTAATACACACATACGATAAGATATGCTGCGATGATGCCTACAGGTGTGGTCATTTCAGATACCTTTTCCATACATTCCTAAAGTTATGCTTGATGTGGTAGAACACATGGATTTATTTACTACAGGTATTGATATAGCAACAGCAATTTACATAGCACATACACATACTATACATTCACATCAGTCCCTGCCCTCAGGGAGCTTTCATATATACAAGGTCAGTTTAGAGAGAAGCCAATTTATCTAATCGCATTTCTTGGGTGTGGGAGTAAACCAGAGTACCTGGGGAACCCTACACAAGCAGAAAATGCAAACTCCATGCAGATAATGTCCAGATCCAAACGGAGGACCCCAATGCTGCATGACAGCAGTGCTAACCACCAAACAGCCATTTCTTTATCTTCAGTTTCTAAAGTATACTTCTGTAAAAGATGTATCATAAATAAAAGGCATTTAAAAACTGAACTACTGGCATACACATGCTCATTTAATATATTCCTCAATAGCCATTAAAGGATATAAATCCATTTTGTGTGCACGGAATGCCTCTGCAAACCCAGATATCACCTTGTGAAAGTAGCAGTAACATCTCAGTGGTGTACATATCCTGTGCAGAGAGCAGAGCTGTGGGAGGCACCCAACAATTCAACTACAGGCTGCCTGCAAAAAACTAAAGGATGGGGTGGAGACAAGACCAGTCATCCTGCACAAGGAGAGAGAGAGAACATGCTTCTTGTATTTAGACCATATTCGCTTATCCTGGAGTTCAGTTTTAATTTAGTTGTCTAGAAGTTAAAGTGTATATAAAGCCAAAGCTTTTTTGCTAGTGGTAAGGGGTTAGACCCCGTCATGTTTTTACTGTTGCCTTTGTCCTCAGTGGAAAGGGGGAAAGAAAATCCTACATTTTGAGCTGTCCCAGAAAAGGAATGGAGTGGATTTTTTTTCAATGAAAACCAGTTCCTATTACTTCCTGTTGTGTTTATAGAACAGGAAAGCAAGGTAACTACGCTGGTTGGCAAACAAAAACCATTGGAAAAAAACACTTATTAGTTGAACCACTTTTAGCTTTGATTACAGCACGCATCCGTCATGGCATCATTTCAATAAGCTTATGCAAGGTCGCAACATATATTTCTGACCAGAATTGCATTTATTTTTCAGTGCATAAAGTCTTCTACAGCACATCCCATTCCCACATTCTCAATGGGGTTCAGGTCTGGACCTGTGGTGGCCAATCCATGTGTGAAAATGCCTTATGCTCAGTGAACCACTCTTTCACAGTTTGAGCCGGATGAATCCTGGCATTGTCATCTTGGAATATGCCCAATGTGCCATCAGGGAACAAAAAAATCCATTGATGGAAAAACCTGATCAGTTGCTGAACCTAGACCTGACCAACTAAAGCAAACCCAGATCATAGACCTGACCAACTAAAGCAAACCCAGATCATAACACTGCCCCTACAGGCTTGTACGGCAGGCACTAGGCATGATGGGAGCATCACTTCATCTCTCTCTCTTCTTACCCTGATGCGCCCATGGGCTCATTACACCACATAACCTTTTTCTATTGCTCCAGTGTCCGATCTTTATGCTCCCTTGCAAATTAAAGCATTTCCCCTTGATTAACTACAATGAGTGGTTTTCTTAAGGCTATACAGCTGTTTAGTCCATATCCCTTGAGTTCTCCTCATTGTGCATGTGGAATGCTTCCAGTTTCACTATTAAACATACTGTAGCTGTGCATTCTACTGTTTTTCTATGATTTGATTTCACCAAATGTTTAAGTAATCTCTGATCACGATCATGAGCATTTAAAAAAGGAACTTTACCCATATTTTCAAAACAACAACAAAAGCACCTTTAGAAATGTTAAGTAATGGCAAACTACCAACAGATACTTCCAGATAATTGCCAGCGTTTTATTCTTTGCATGCCTTATTTTCCTTCAGTCTTCTGACAGTGGCCATTTTAACTAAGGGCAAGTTGCTAGATCTCCCTTTACGTCCTGGAACTCTGGCACATGTGGCCAGGACATATGACCATGCACATCAAGGGAAGAAAATGCCTTTCCCTGAGATCTCATGAGATTACAGAGGAGATTTCCCAGCAATGCTCTGCTGATAAAGCTTCCCAGGATGCAGTGCTTGGTTTGGGCACAATTACATAATTTGTGCCAAAGTGGACCAGGAAGTGGAAAGAAAAACCTAAGT